AATTCTATTGTGCATAGGTTGCCGTTACAGTTCACTGTTTATTAGATTCCCCTTGCGTCTTCACCCCTGTTTTTAAGTCTCCCTCACCCCTCATGTGTTTCATATCTGCGTTTCTTATGTTGTCAAGCTTGTGTTGTCACGTCTGTGTCTCGTTATGTTTCCCATTTTATTTTGAAGAGGTCTGGTGTCCCATGTTCTTCGTGTTTAGTTTTGCTCTTCCCCTGTGACATGTTAATTTGTGTCAGCTGTGTCCCTATGTGTTTCCACTTCCCCTGATCACCTCCAGTGGGTGGTCGTCTGCTATGTTCATGTCATGTTTCCAGGTTTTTCTAGGAATCCATGCCAGGTCTAAATGTTCAAGGTTTGTGAGGTCATGTTTTAATCTTAGTTCACCCAGTTTAGGTTATTGTTTACTTTCGTCTTTGCCTTTTGTTTTGTACCATTTTGCCAGCCTTAATAAACAGCTCATTTTTGTTATGCTCAAGTTTTGTCTCTTTGCATGTCTGCACTTCCACGTCCTCACTCCTCACAGTCGGCTGTCCGTCGGCAGCCATACTGTGACATAAACAGCCCAGGTTCATTACTGAATGGGTGAGAACCTTTTTTGTGGTTTTAATGTCGCACCTGATCAGGTTATTGTCACCATGTCAGGCCAAGTCTGACCGACTAGGCAGGATTCTGCTTTGGGAATGCTTTATTTATTGCAATGGCATGGTTAAGAAGCAGGAGGCAGGCTTCCTTCAAGCAATTTTCTTTTGCAGGAGTACAAACCTCCTTCAGGACCAGGATCTGGTCAACTTCCCTCAGATGTCGCAGCTGATGTGTGACCAGGATACGACACTTGTTCTTCAGCAAGCCACAGATACACCTGATCATAAGCACAGACAGGTGTACACATTTCATAAATAAGAAGTGGAACTTTTCTCCTTTTAAAAATCTCATATAGGTCCATACTGCACGACACAACGCAGCTGTGTAATGCGAGCTCAGTCCTCAAGATCCAGATTCATTGTTTGCGTTTGTTTAAAGTGATTACAATATTGGAACTATGACACATTTATAGCTGACTTGTGTAAAATTTGAGTAAGAGAACATTTAAAAGGTCAAACAGGATGTGTGGCAGAAAATATATTTCTACAGGGGGAAAAAAGCAAAAAGTCTGTGGCTGTGATAGAGCAGAAAAGGATCTGTGTGCATTACCTCAGCAGTATGTACTTAAAGAAATCTTTATGGCTTTTTCTCTCCTTATCTCTGTGTCAACTGAGAGGCTTTAAAAGGACTGGTAACAGTTAAATAATGCTTATTTGGAACTGCCAATCATGCAGTGCAACTAAAATAAAAATCATGGCTCGATGTGAGCATAATAATCCCACTTCTAAGTTTATCAGTGATAGTATTGTTGGGTCTTTACTTTACAGTATAAAGTGCCATGAAATGACCGGTGTTGAATTGAAAACTCAAATCTAACCTTACAATTAATAATTCCCTTCGTTTCTATAAAACAGAGATATGTAGCATGTAGAATATACTATACTTCATGTGTATGAATACATATGGGTATCTCTTTGGGACACAGATAATTGTGAGCAGTCATTACTTGTCGAAAAGATGTTTTCCAACTTCTGCATCCACAGCACTTAAAGGGTCATCCAGGAGGTAGATGTCTGCATCCTCATACACAGCCCTGTAAAAAAAAGGGCTTTGATTATGGCATGTGAAGTAGAACAACTATAGCAACAGTAGTGTGCATACCTGGAGGTTTAAAAAAATTGCCCGAACATATAGGTTATTGCTGCCTCTATTTTAGGCTGCCTAATAACTCAGAGAAGGAATTCAAATCTGTTGAGGATTATACTAAAAATGGATTTCTCTCCTGTGCATAACAATGACATAACTGCTGTGACTGTTGTCGTACCTCGCCAGGTTTACACGAGCTTTCTGTCCACCACTGAGTGTGGCTCCTCTGTCTCCAATCAGTGTTAGGTCTCCATCTGGGAACATCTCCAGGTCCTGCACAAAATGTACGTGTAACAAAAATAAATGTGAATGCCAAAAATAGGGGAACATTTTAGTCATTTGATAAATATTGGCAGTTTGGTTTTGTTCTTCAGAATATTAGCAAAAATAGGCTATCCTGTACTATAAGCACAGATAGAGATTCCAGGACAAGTATTAATGATCGAAACGCAGACTAGGCATTAAAAACATAAGAGGAAAGGAAAAACCTGAGAATAACTAACAAAGAAACTATGAATACAAAACATAAAATCAGAATTAAAACACAACCCAAGCAAACATAATATTCAACAGAAAATTACAACAAGGTCATACAGAAAATATCAAACTGAAGACTGAGATTCCAAAGCTGAAAAACGCTGGGTACAAAACCCAGAATCATGACTAGAAGAAGCCTGAGTTGTGGACATGCATCTGCTTCTCTGTAAAGTCCGGGTCCATGAAATCCACAGTAGTAGTTCAGGCTTTAGAAGCTTTTCAGTCATAGTTTTTCAAGTAGTATTTCTACATTGTCATGAACACAATATTCCGTTTTGATAGAACACATTAGCTCACCTTCTTCAGAGCACAGGCTCTAAGGACCTGCTCATATTTCTTTGGGTTAAGTTCTCTCCCAAAAAGGATGTTGCTGCGAATGGTTCCAGGGAACACCCACGGTTGCTGGGATGCGTAGGTTAGCTGACCTTTGACCTTCAGTGTGCCTGTATCACGAGGAAGCTCTCCCAGGATTGCACTTAGCAGGGATGACTGAGGAAAACATGGATGTCATGCATGTAGCTGGGTAAATTGCATTTTTTTTTTTTTTTTTGTCAGTGACAAATACTGCAATGGTTTAGCACTTTGTTTCCAAGTTGCTATGGTGCAATGGCCCAGACAAATTCTGGACCTCAACACAACTCAAACACCTTGGCAGAACCATAAAAGAGCTGTGTATAAACATATGCCTCTAAACCTGAATAAACTGAATAATGACTGATAAAGTCATACAGATCAGATTTAGCTGATCTTTAGCTACTTTTGCTAAATGTGAATGTACAAGGTACTGAATCATGGGCCACATATTTCATAGGACTCTATGCAGTAACAGAAAAAAACAAAACAGAAAAAAAAGGAAAAAACCTCCACTCTTTTACAAATGAAATCAAGCACACTGTTAAAAGAAAGAATTAAAGGATGTTTTTTAAATAAAGTCGAGTCAGTTAAACTTTTTTTTTTTCGTGTCCCGTTTGGATCTTTAGCCATCAGAATTGTTGTTTTAAGGCCAAGAAAGATGCCAAGCGGATTTATTTTACCAAGTGGATCATCATGGCCTTGCCATATTGGTCCATATGAATTTATTTTATTTTCGGTTGCTATAAACGGGACAGACATGACTGGGGGATAGGACAGGGAGAAAGAATGAAAGAAAGAGAGGGAGAGAAAGAAAACCAAAGGGGAGAAGAGACGGTGAGAAAGGGGGGAAGAAAGAAAGAAAAACAAACAAAACACCTGGATCACCTGTATGAAGAAAAAAAAAACAGAAGAGAAAGCAAACAAAAAAAGAGCAACATAATAAAAACAGCACCATCACAATAAACTAGCTAGCTGTAGATAACAGAGATACTAAATATTAAATGATATTGTGCAGCACGCAAGATAGACAGCACACAATGTGCTTTGAGGCAGCAGCCAAGAAAGGTGTAGTCCGTGTCTGTGAATACCCGTGTGTACACCTGTGTGCATACCTGTGTGGATCAGCATGCTTGTATTCCAAAGGTTTCTCCATGTAACGATCTGCTAGGGAGTGTGGGGAGCCATAGCCCCGTCCTCCAGGGTATGAAGCAGGTATGGAGGAGATCCAGGCCCCAGATATCCAGAGGCCCCAGAGTACAAGGACCCGAGGAGAACCACCAAAAGGGGGGGAACCGTGCCACCCTCCTGGGAAGAGCTGAGTAGAGCCCCAAACGAGAGGTCATCCAGCAGCTACGGAGCAGAGGCCAGAGGGGGTTGCAGTGGCGTGCCCGCGGGCTCTGCCGGCAGCCAGCTGTGCCAGAGAGGACCGAGCTTCAGGCCCAGAGGCCAGAGGCCTGAGGGCATCCCACCCCCCGGAAGGGGCCCAGCCGGGCCACAGGCGCCAGGTCCCACCAATCGGCCACCAGGAGTGAGCCGGTACATACATGAGTGCCCAGCCCCAGACGACAAGGACCACCAACACACCAAGGTCTGAGGGCATCAGCCACCGGCAGGGAGTGTGGTGAGGGGAGATAGGCCTCCGTACTTTAGAGGGCCTGAGATCTACCCAGAGAGGTTGAGTCTAAGACCCAACCTGACATATAGACACAGACGAACAGGCGCACGCGGACACAAACGTGCATTCCCACCCCATATGCACAACCAAATACTCGGCACTTACCTAACGTGCAGACAGACACAAATAGACACTGCACAGACAGTCGCACTCCCCAAACATACTCCATATCCCAGGTCCAGGTACCCCCGCCCTCAGAGGGGCAAGCCGCACCTAGACCCAGGAGATGTAACCCTTCTCTCTGGGGTGGAGGCAAGCGGACCACCTCCTTATCTGCAGTAGCAGGGAGGCCCCGCATCCCAGACCCCAGTCTGACGGCCAGCACCTCCTCCCAGCCCCCCAGCCCTGACGGCCAACAGAACCGGGGTGAGTGAAGACCTCAAACCTCCCTACGCCCGCTCATATGTAGTGTTGCTGTGTGCTGTTCTAAAGTGCATTTAAAACTCAGGAGAGCATGGTACTAGCTTCCTCTCAGAGAGCAGCACGGCTCCTCCCGAAAACCCTTAGTGTCTAAATACATTTAAAATTGAGGGTAGGGCATCAGCGCCCGAGGTGGGTTGGAATACACCAACCATCCTCTGGATGCTGTAAAACGTGCCCACCCCCAAGGCCCTATATGTATGTGTTATGTGAGAGTGTGAGTAATGTGGATGTCTAGGTTGCAGAATAAAATTGAGGCACAGGCGGCCAGAAGGGGACAGAGAGGGAGTGCCTCCCCTGCACCCTGGTGACATACCTGCACCCCAAGCCCTGCGTGTGTGGGTGGGTGTGGTAGAGCGGGAATAGGGAGGCAGCTGAGGATGGGGAGGGAAGAAAGGGAGGGGCAAGTGGCCCCTCCCTGGGGCCAGCTCCCCCGCTGACCCCAGTAGGCACCCCCACACTCTGGAACCCACCAGGGCAAGGGGGCCCAGGCCCATCCGGACCGGGGCCCGCAGCAGCAGCACCGCCCAGCCCCACAGAGTCTGGGGCAGCCCCCCTGACTCCACCCCAGAGAAAACTGCACCCACTCCATCATCCAATCATCTCCCAAACTACACAAGACAATAGATACCCAGGTTGAGTTCATTCTCCACCTCTCCTAAATCTCTCCCCCCCACCTGCAGAGTGAGCTCCTGTAGTGAGGAGACCACCTGCAAAGATATAACAACCTCCCCACCAGTTAAAGAGCCCCCTAGTTGGGCCGATGCACCAGAGGTCCCCTGCACTGGGGCCGAGCCCCCCTGCACCCACCCGCCCACTGCTCCGGCGACACAACAGCCAGGACCCAAGCCCCTAAGGCCCGGCCAGCACCCCAGACCGGGGGGCGGAGCACCCCCAGACCCCCAAGCCTCCACGCCCGTCCCGGACCCTCCCAGGGGCAGCCAGGCTACCAGGCCAGTAACCAACGTCCGCCAGCACAGACCCTCTCCCATCTCCGCTGTACGCAGCCACAAGGAAAACACCATCCAAGAGCCCCAGAGCTCCTAACCAGGTCATGGTCACATCCCCCAGGTTAGGCCCTCCAGGGAAACATCCCTAGGGACTCCCCAGACACCCTAAGGCCGTCCCTACCCCCATATCAACTACAATAGCGAAGGCAGGACCAAACCATGACCCCCCACCCCCACTAGGTGATGAAGCCAATCAAAGGAGCTCAAAGGGATTGATCAAATGTGATGGCAGAGGTTGTATCAAGACTAATGTGATCTATTAGATGGTTTTTATATTGGTTAGAATTAAGATTATTTTTATTTTTCCAGTTAATGAGGACCATTTTCTTGGCAATGCATAGGGCCGTAAAAACAACGTGGGCTGTGTTTATTTCTGCAGTGACCTCATCCAAGTTGCCCAGCAAGCATATTAAAGGGGAGGCTGGAATGTTACATTTCAGACACTTTGATAAGTCTACACATATCTCACGCCAAAATTTCTGAACTGGTGGACAGAACCAAAGAGCGTGGATGTAATTGTCCGTTGTATTTGCTGTGCAGTGTGAGCAGTTGTTGGAAGGCGTATAGCCCATCTTGAACATCCTATGACCAGTATAGTGCACTCTGTGTAATATTTTGTATTGTATTAATTGCAAACTGGGATTTCTGATCCATTGAAAGGTTTTTAAGGATATCTGAGACCAAAGGTTTGGGTCTAAGTTGATTGATAAATCTGGTTCCCATTTTGCAATAGGAAGGGATATTGATTCATCTATTTTAGAAAGTGTTCTGTATATTTTAGACAATGATTTGGGGGGTTTTAGACTAAAAAAATTGTACCACAGTTGGTGGTGTTTGTAATTCAGCTTCACTGGGATTAAATTTCTTTTTTACTATGGATTTAATTTGTTGATATTCCAAAATTCGTTTCTTGTTGATCCCATATTGTGTAACTAGTCTGTCAACTAGTCAGTTAAACTTTTGGGATATTGATGTGATCAGTCAAATAGCAGAGGGGGTTGTTAGTCGATACCTGGACCCTACAGAGATTGCACAGGTAGTCCATCTCCCACATGGTAAAACGGTAAATGAAATTCCAGGAGACAAGAAAATGTTCTAGGAGACCTGGACAAGGCTGTTGAAGGCCCTTAACCCATCATCAGGACTGGGATCTGCTCCGTTTTACAAAAGGAAACTGGATGATCACTGCCAAAACCCTATAAAAATGACAATAATGGCGCCAGAGAGCCCAGTGCCCTCTGGTAAGCCCTGTGCTCACCACCCAGCACCATGGAACCCAACTAACCTTTGCCATAGAATACCAGAATTGGTAGGTCCTCCACTTGCGCCCTGTGCTTTTCAAAGATGAAAGCAAGCTTAACCCATGCACATGTGACAGAACTGAAAGGGTCTGGAGAAGTCGTGGAAAAATGTATGTTGTGTAACATCATTCAGCATGACTGGGTTGGTGGTGAGTCACTGGCATATTGATAGAGGGATGCACAAACCTCTACAGGCTAGGCAACGGCACCCTGACTTTCAATAGATATTGTAATAAAGTCCTTGAACTTTATCAGACCATATGCTTGTGGGTCCTGGATTCTTCCTGGTGCACAGCAATGTCCAACCTCATGTGGTGAGAGTATGCAGGCAGTTCTTGAAGGATGAAGGAACTAATACCACTGACTGGCCCCCACACTCACCTGACCTAAATCAATAGAACACCTGTGAGACATTATGTTTCAGTTCATCCAATGTTGCCAGGTTGCACCACCTAACATATTACTCAGTGCACATCAGTAATGATGATTTTTTTCCCCATTGAGATCTGATATGTTATTAAAGTGGTTATTTTTTGAGCAGCGTATAAGAATCCGGTAATAAACCGTTAGGTTAAAGACTCCTATAATCTTAGGGTGGATGCTAAAATAGATTACACAAGTTTACTGACCTTTCCGGCCCCCACTGGTCCGATTACAGTCAGAAGTTGATGTGACTTTGCTGTGATGGAAACATTCTGAAGAGATGGTGCATCCAAACTCTAAACAAAGACAAAAATGGCAGTAAGTACTACATCAAACTATAAAGTTTGCAGAAACAGTCATTGTTCTACAACAATATGTTACACCGCTACGAAATATATTACACTATTTACCTTATCCCAGTAGCAGGTCAGTTTCTCGATCTCAATAGAGTTTCCCCCCTTTTCCGCCAAAGGCAACATAATGTTTTTTCTCTCAATCTCTTCCAGTAGGAGAAAATTCTGGGAAAATGATAAACATGGTTTTACACCAGCTTTGGAAATTGTTTGACTATCTTGGACATGACTACTGGATTGCCAACTTTTCCTACAGTTTATGACAGAAATTAATTACCTTAATCCTGCGAATGCTCACTACAGTCTCTGACAACTTCTCAATGGCCAGAGGAAAGAACAGGGTCAGGGTGACCTTAATTGTACCATACAGGGACATGGTGACAAACACCTGGCTGGCAGTCATGGTGTTCCCCAAAAGAGTGTAGACCGTGAAGGTAACAAAGATTATGAGCTTGCTGCTGGCAAAGAAGGAAGCCATGTTGAGTCCTCGTAGGTAGGAGCTCTTTAATATCCGACTGATTTCTTTCCTACAAACATAAGAGAACATATGTAGATGGATTACATAGTTGAAGCAAAGTTTTAAGTTTAAATTTGGCAGGATGTTGAGCAACATCGGTTTCACTTTGATATGTCTATGACAGTAATTATATATTTAATTTTTAAGTTATGAAGGAAAAAGGAAAGAAAAGTCAGAGTGTAGCTTTTTGTGAATTCCCATGTTCTCCCTGTGCCTGCATAAGTTCTGTCTAAGTACTCTTGGTTATCCAATACAGCAGGATCCAAACCTCCCACTGAGTTTAGGGATCACTCTTGATATGAGTTTCAGCAGGAGGACAACAGTACCAATTAAGAACACCCCAGAAAAAAAAGTAGTAATATAAACTTTTTCACAAATTGAAGAAAAGACAAGCAAACATAAAATGTAAACATGTTGCAAAAGGAGGATTTATGTAAGAGTTGTAGCATTTGCACCTATGTGAAAAACGTGGAAATCCTAAGTGATTTTCAGAAAAGTTAACCTCTGACCTTGGGGTTAAGGTCAGCGGGATTTGAACTTATCTGAGATTTCTAGTAGGTGCATCATTGGTCTGAATTTGAAAATCCTATGTCGCCTCATTCTGGAGTTCATTCACAAACTTGGTATTGTCGTCCTCCCTGTGTTTTGACGACAATACCCCGTGAGCCTGTCAGAGCTGAGGGCTAAATCAGTTGATGATGGAGAGGGGTACCAAAAAAGGATAATATATGCAGTAGTATTCTGCTGGTTCAGAAAATGATTCGTGTCAAAACATTACCAGTTTGTCTGTGATTCTCATCCTTACTTTCTAACTTCAGTCACCAGGGCTGAGAACCATTTCTCCCAGACATACATCTTGATTATCCTTATGCCAGACACCACTTCATTCATGATACGGATTCTGCTGTCAGTAAGGACTGCTGTTTTGCTCCTGCCAAAAAACAACAACAAAAAACTCCACAACATGTCATTGAGGCCGCTAGTTTTCCTAATGATACATTATAAATAACATATTAGTGCATGAGAAAATAGACACAGTCATTGAACATTGTTAAACAGGCCCTGTCATGGTCCTGGGTTTGGACTCGGGTTTCAGAGTTTGGAACTTGTTTTAAAATGTTTTTAGATTCATAGGGAACATTTAGTTCTTAGTTCGAATCTTTTTAGTTCAAGTTTCTATTTCTGTTGGTTGGGTTGTTCTTCATCGTTTGATTTTCTTTGATTCATTCTTGTTGGCTCTTGTTCCCTTATTTCCTCTCCTTGTTTTTAGTTTGTCATATTGAGTGTTTCGGTTATTCATTCCCTGTTTTATTTTGGTTGTCATTTGTTTCTTGGGTCTTGTATTTAGTTTTACTTTCTTTTGTAATCATCTGATTAGTTTCAGCTGTGTCTTGTTTCCCTGGTGTTTCCTGTCTGATTTCTACATTAGCTCCGGTCTTGCAAAATATTTGCATGGCTTCAGTATCAGCTTTAACATTCCCTAGTTATCTAGGTGGACATAAAATACACTAAAGTTAAAAATGGGAGTCCTACAGAGGAGTTTATGTGTGGGTTTGTATGCATCAAATGTGTCTAATGCCAAAGCAACAAGGTTTAGGATTTCTATGACTGCAGTAAAATTCCCTCCATCCATCACTTACTCATCTGACCCAAAGAAAAAAATTAACATAGGACAATCCTTAAGGCTACGATGAAGGTCATTACTGATACAGACTGATTATACAGAACCTTAAACACACTTCGATCAGGTAATAGAGCTCATACTCTTTAGAGAGATCATATAAATCTACATTCTTCATGAAATGCAACAACTCAAAAAAAAGTAGTTTTTGTCACAGTGGTGTGATGATCAGCTGTGCACTTAGCATGCTGAGGTTAAAAACTCAAAATGGATACAGCACAAAAGGCTAAAAGCCAAAAAAAAAAAAAGTTACACAGAGAGTATTTTGGGAAATTTGTTGAGAGTTGAGATGTCAGTGGAGGACTTTTTTTGACTGTGCCAATCTTTCTATAATTGAAACCGAGTTGGGAAGAACTCTGCTGAAGTTCGGTAAAATAATGTGCCCACAGTAAGAAAACAAGAGAAACAGAAGGTTTTCTGTGTATTAACAAACACTTCCTGCTTTATAATTACAGGAGAGTCTGGGCAATGAGCTACCAGAACATTTTGTGTAATTTCAAACATTTCTTACAATTGAATTTGTGCGAACATGTCTTTCATTTACTACAGCAACATTTCTTTAGAAAAGAAAAATCACAGCGCCACTCGTCCAGCCTGCTTAAGATCAAAGTAAGTTGTATGTGGCCCTCAAGGTAAAATGAGTTTGACCTCCTTGGTTTACGAAGTACCAGAGGAGGGCAGCAATGCACCTTTGTGTCTAAAATCCAAGAAGAAGTCTGGCAGTCTGCCTGTTTAACCACCTTTGTATGTCTCAGTTCGGGTTTTGGAATTTCCTGGATTAGTCTTTTTTGTGTGTGGATATTTTGGAGCTTGTGAACATCGGGCTTCTACTTTAATAAAAAGGTGTGTTTTACATTTGCCCAATTTGCCTATGAGTCCTGCAGTCGGGTCTTGTTTCTTGCTGGACGTTGAGAGGTCTATAGATTGAAAGATCCATGTACTTCTCCAGTTATCCTTTACCTGAAGATGCCGAAGAGTTTTCCAAACCAGGTCTGTATCGGCATCATAACTGCAATTGTTGCCACACCTGCCAGGCACGAGGGGCCGATCTCATACCAAAGGAAAACGATGATCACCATTGCTTGCAGAGGTCCCGCCCACAAGTAGTGCAGTCTGAGTGTAATCTGTAGAGGTCATTATAAATGACATTTTGAAAAGTGTGTGACATTTGGAAGTGGCGGTCACAACTTGGATAAAACTGTCAGTCACCATAAGGAGCCTGTAATGTAAGCAAACATAGATGCCCAAGATTTGGAGAAATGTGCTAATGGTCAACAAATTTTAGGAATACTCAATAAAGTGTTGGGTAACTACATGCCGATAGAACAGCTTTAAGATGCTTGTGATTCTCGTGTGACTGCAATCACCCTCACATGTTAATCAGTCGTGTCAGGCTTTAAGCTATCCCAAAAATGATTCCTTTGTGGCATTAACAAAATAGCCGCAGAGACTTGCTTTTAATGCCTGACTGCAGTTAACCAGGGTGGATGAGCATGTTTCATTTGTGGAAGTACAGATGTTTTATTCAGATGCCTGCCTAATATTTTTGAAAACAACTTCCTGTGAATTAGACAAAAGTAAACTTAATTGTCCTACCCATACAAAAATTGCCTATATACATCCTTATGACATAGCTAGCTATCAGTTGAAGGTTTGCTCTCAGTCAATCTCATTGATTAGAAGTTATTGTGAGGTCTTGTATTAGCTCAAAATCAGTCATCTTGTGATGCCATCGTCTGAACAGGGACTCGCCAGACCTTATGCTCTATAGATGGTGTGCTGTAATCCTGGAAGTGGACAGAAATGTTTCGTCATACAATAAATGTGATCTCTCTGGACAACTTTGTATTGATTTGCTTTATATTGACACTTCCAGACCTCTTCCCTGCCCTATATACACTCAACAAAAATATAAACGCAACACCTTTGTTACTGCTCCCATTCCCCATGGGATGGACGTAGAGACCTAAAATTCATTCCAGATACACAATATAACCATCCCTCCCAAACAGTGGTCACAAATCAGTCCAAATGTGTGGTAGTGGGCACATCTGCTATATTGAGATAATCCATCCCACCTCACAGGTGTGCCACATCAGGATGCTGATCTGACATCATGAGTAGTGCACAGGTGTACCTCAGACTGCCCACAACAAAAGGCCACCCTGGAATGTGCAGTTTTGTCTCACAGCAAAATGCCACAGATGCCACAAGCAATGAGGGAGCGTGCAATTGGCATGCTGACAGCAGGAATGTCAACCAGATCTGTCGCCCGTGCATTGAATGTTCATTTCTCAACCATAAGCAGTCTCCACAGGCGTTTCAGAGAATATGGCAGAACATCCAACCGGCCTCACAACCGCAGACCTCGTGTAACCACACCAGCCCAGGACCTCCACATCCAGCAGGTTCACCTCCAAGATCGTCTGAGACCAGCCACCCAGACAGCTGCTGGAACAATTGGTTTGCACAACCAAACAATTTCTGCACAAACTGTCAGAAACCGTCTCAGGGACGCTTGACTGCATGCCCGTCGTCCTCATCGGGGTCTTGACCTGACTCCAGCTCGTCGCCGTAACAGACTTGTGTGGGCAAATGCTCACATTCGATGGCGTCTGGCACGTTGGAGAGGTGTGCGCTTCACGGATGAATCATGGTTCACATTGTTCAGGGCAGATGGCAGCTGAGAATGTCCCAGTTCTTGCATGGCCAGCATACTCACCGGACATGTCGCCCATTGAGCATGTTCGGGATGTGCTTGACCGGCGTATACGACAGCGTGTACCAGTTCCCACGAATATCCAACAACCTCGCACAGCCATTGAAGTGGAGTGGCCCAACATTTCACAGGCCACAATTGACAATCTGATAGACTCCATGCGACGATGTGTTGCACTGCATGAGGCAAATGGTGGTCACACCAGATACTGACCGGTTCTGGGTCCCCAGACCCCCAATAGCGCAAAAAACTGCACATTCCAGGGTGGCCTTTTGTTGTGGGCAGTCTGAGGTACACCTGTGCACTACTCATGATGTCAGATCAGCATCCTGATGTGGCACACCTGTGAGGTGGGATGGATTATCTCAATATGGCAGATGTGCCCACTACCACACATTTGGACTGATTTGTGACCACTGTTTGGGAGGGATGGTTATATTGTGTATCTGGAATGAATTTTAGGTCTCTACGTCCATCCCATGGGGAATGGGAGCAGTAACAAAGGTGTTGCGTTTATATTTTTGTTGAGTGTATAACATCAAGCAGAGGGTCAAGAGTTCAGATTTTTCATCTTTATCATTCTCCTGTGGCAAGTTAGTGTAGTAACTTTTAAATAATATCTAAAAAAAACCCTGTATTTACCACAAATACCCATCTACTCAAATACCTAATGAAAAAATGTTTCAAAGGGTACATCCAGGTTAACCCTCTGTCCTTCTGTTGTCTCGGTTACAATTCTCCAAATGTAGTTTCAAGTTGGTTCTTGACCCTTACAAATTTAGGTCATCTGTTGCCTTACCTCATCAAAATGATTAACATCATTTGAAAGTAGGTTCACTATTTGACCGGTGGTTGTTCGTCCGATGGATTCAGTGCTGAGACCAAGAGCCTGATGAGAAAATTTTTACTTAACAGCTTGAAAAATTTACAAAATTATTCTGAGAGTTGTGAGCTCAAAAATTTGCATCTCTTGTGCAAATTTTCTGAATCTTCACTGACCTTCCTGTAGATCATGTGACACATAGCCACTCTAATCCTCATGCCTGTTCTTTGGACATGATAGTAGTAGAGATGTTGGAGGATAGTCAGTCCAAACGTGGAGATGGACATCGCAGCAGCGTAAACATACGCCATGCAAAGACTCCTCTGATCATCTGGGTGATAATTCTCAAAGAAAAGGATTATTTTTCCCAGAAGAAGTGGCTGGATCACTTTGATTGCCTCCTTTACGACAAAGACAATAAATACATAATGGAATATGCAAACAAGCTTCACTCTATCCATTACTAGTACTGGATGTGGTAAATTGGTTCAAATATCTGCTAGTAATACAATAATACAGTAAAACTACAGTATTCCTTTTTATTTTAGCTCATCTGAAATAATATGGCCAGAAAACCGCACAAAATCTCAAATACGACCTGTGCATGAATGATTGTTTTAACACTGGTGCCAATTGTAAATATTCACAACATACCAGAAAAAATTCAAATAGGCCGGCTAATGCATAGGACTTTCCATAGCACTTTATAAGAACCCTGGAGAGCTGCGGCTTCCATAGTTCCTTTGAAGCCTTTTTTACTTCCTCGTTCCAACATCTGCAAATCAAATGAATTTATTAGTTGAGCCCAGGATTTATAAACACATTTCCAACAGAGGTGCTTTACTATTTTATGAAAATTATTTGCATTGAAATTTGATGGCAGCAACATATCTCACAAAGTTGGGACAGGGCAAGAGAAGGCTGCAAAGGTAAGTGGCACTAAAAAGAAACAACTGGAGGACTTTGAGGCTAATTAGGTTAATTAGCAGCAGGTCAGTAACACAATTATCAGACCCTCGAAAGCACTTGATATTACAAGCAGTGGCAGGTTGACAGAATGGCAATCCACACTATAAAAAATAAAACATTAACTTGAAACAAACAGACATGTTTCTTAACCAGCACCACTTCTGGTTTTGTCACATTAGCCTTTTGCTGAAGTACCTCTGCAGCTCCTCTCCCAGGGTTTCAGACCGATCCTCCGGAAGGACACTGTACATGTCACCTTTCTCGAGCCTGTGTTGGCCAAGCTGTAACAGGGGGTTTAACCAACTGAAACAGAAAAAAAACAAACCATTTCCATCTGGCAGAGAAAAATACAAATCACTGTGGTTTAGAAAAGACATATCTAAGCTGACTGTGAATGTCTGAACTATTTGTGCTTAATGAGTTATTTGGAGAAACAGTGTTTCTAGTGATGGACTTGGAGGATCTCTTAAAGCTAATGCTGTTCACACATCAAATATTGGCCACAGTCCCGGAAGAACATTTAAAACTAGAAAAATTTGCATTTCCTGCGAAAATGCAGTGTGGATGCTTTAAAGCTGAAGCTGTATGCAAAAAGTAGCTGAAAAAGCTGAAAAGTTGCAGAAATTGTAAAAACTTTGCAGAAGCAAAAGAAGTTTGCTAAAATAGAATAACTTAGCAGAACTGCAATATCTTAGAGGAAACATAATACTTGGCAGAGATACAATAGCATAGCAGAATTTAGCAGAAATATTGTAACTTACAAGAAACATGATAACTTCTCAAAATACAAGAATTTAGGAGAAATAGTATAAGATAACAGAAAGAATATATTTAGCCAAAAATACTTAAACATTACAGAAACACTATGATTTAGAAAAATAGTACAACAGAGCAGAAATATTGTGATTTACCAGAGACACTGTGATGAACTATGAATATTGTAATTTTAAATTAAGACTATGTTTTAGCACAAATATTATAATTTGGCAGAAATACTATAATTTAGCAGAAATACTATATTAAGCACAAATCCTATAAAAAGCAGAAATGGTATGATTAAGCATAAATACTACATTTAGTAGAAATACTTTGTTTTAGCACAAATCCCATAAAAAGCAGAAATACTGTACTATGATTTAGTAGAAAAACTATAATTAATCAGAAATACTAAATTTAGCAGAAATACTATATTAAGCACGAATCCTATGAAAAGCAGAAATAATATGATTAAGCATAAATACTACATTTAGCAGAAATACTATATTAAGCACAAATCTTATAAAAAGCAGAAATACTATATTAAGCACAAATCCTATAAAAGCAGAAATAGTATATTAAGCACAAATCTTATAAAATAGCAGAAATAGTATGATTTAGCACAATAGTAATAAGTTAAACAGAAAAATTGGAAAAGCAAAATGGACAGCTGAAAAAATGCTGAACATGCTGAGGGTCCCTCAAATATACTTGTTAAATGACAAAAATCTGAAAAAAAATTTATGACAGCCACACAATTACAAATATGTACACATGAGGAAACACACATGCACAGAGAGACACACAGACAAGATCCAATTCAGTCAACCAGTCTAACTATATTCAATTTAAATCCTACAATGACATGCTGCCAAATAAGGGCAGGGTCCTCTCTCTCCCACTAAACACACACACACACACACACACACACACACACACACACACACACACACACACACACACACAGAGGGAGAGAGCTGCCGAATTTAAATCCACCAATCAGACTGGCTGTTTACGTTTTCCCGCCAAAACAGGTGCATCCTTTTTACACACGCAGCACAGAGAGACACAGGATCATTGCAGTCTATTTCTCATAGTGACGACTCCCCTCAAACAAATGACCATAATTTCCTAACTGTAGGGGCTAGAAGGGTCATTCTTACACCGTTTTGTTCAGAAGAGATGGGGGAATCTTCAAGTGTTGACAATTTATCATTAAAATATGAATTTTTAGAGATATATGACATGGATGACTTGTTGACTTAGAAGCCACGAATTCCCCAATATGCAAATTTGAATGGCTGAGACCACATATATGATTGGCTGGCTGGGAAGCTGTGCAGGCCCTGATTTGTGGATTTGAATTCCTCAGCTCTGATATGATTGGCTGGCTTAGAAGCCATGAAGGCCCCAATATGCAAATTTGAATGCCTCAGGACACATATATGATTGGCTGGGAAGCCGTGCAGGCCCTGATTTGAAAATTTGAATGTCTAAGTCCTCACAGAGGATTGGCTGCCTGGGGACCTGGCAGATATATATATAGAAATACTATGATTAAGCATAAATACTACATTTAGTAGAAATACTATGTTTTAGCACAAATACTATAAAAAGCATAAATAGTATAATTTAGCAGAAATACTATATTAAGCACAAATCCTATAAAAAGCAGAAATACTATATTAGGTACAAATCCTATAAAAAGCAGAAATACTATATTAGGCACAAATCCTATAAAAAGAATAAATACTATATTTTAGCAGAAATACTATATTAGGCACAAATCTTATGAAAAGCAGAAATAGTATGATTTAGCAGAAATACTGTATTTAGCACAAGTACCGAAAAGTACCAGAAATGCTATGATTTAGCAGAATAGTAATAACTTACAAAATTACAAATATGGAGGCATATTGAAACACAAATGCACAGAGGGACACACAAACACAGGCTCTAATCCAGTCAACCAGTCTAACTATATTCAATTTAAATCCTACAATGACATGCTGCCAAATAAGGGCAGGGTCCTCTCTCTCCCACTAAACACACACACACACACACACACACACACACACACACACACACACACACAGACAGACACAGAGGGAGAGAGCTGCCGAATTTAAATCCACCAATCAGAGTGGCTGTTTACGTTTTCCCGCCAAAACAGGTGCATCTTTTTACACACGCAGCACAGAGACATAGACCTGCTTCTTTCAGTTTATTTCACATAGTGAGGATTCCCTCAAACAAATGACCATAATTTCCTAACCATAGGGCTAGAGCGGTCATTCTTACACTGTTTTGTTCAGAAGAGATGGGGGAATCTTCAAGTGTTGACAATTTATCATTAAAATATGAATTTTTAGAGATATATGACATGGATGACTTGTTGACTTAGAAGCCACGAATTCCCCAATATGCAAATTTGAATACCTGGAGCCCACATACATGATTGGCTGGCTGGGAAGCTGTGCAGGCCCTGATTTGTGGATTTGAATTCCTCAGCCCTCAGATATGATTGGCTGGCTTAGAAGCCATGAAGGCCCCAATATGCAAATTTGAATGCCTCAGGACACATATATGATTGGCTGGGAAACCGTGCAGGCCCTGATTTGAAAATTTGAATGTCTAAGTCCTCACAGAGGATTGGCTGCCTGGGACCTGGCAGAAATATATAGAAATATATAGAAATACTATGATTAAGCATAAATACTACATTTATTAGAAATACTATGTTTTAGCACAAATACTATAAAAAGCAGAAATACTATAATTTAGCAGAAATACTATATTAAGCACAAATCCTATAAAAAGCAGAAATAGGATGATTAAGCATAAACACTACATTTAGTAGAAATACTATGTTTGAGCAAAAATCCTATAAAAAGCAGAAATACTATATTAGGCACAAATCTTATAAAATAGCAGAAATAGTATTATTTAGCACAATAGTAATAAGTTAAACAGAAAAATTGGAAAAGCAAAATGGACAGCTGAAAAAATGCTGAACATGCTGAGGGTCCCTCAAATATACTTGTTAAATGAAAAAATCAGCAAAAAAATGCACAGGGAGAGAGAAGTAAGTTTCTAGGTCAGCCTGGGAGCTGCTGAATTTGAATCCACCAATCAGAGAGGCTGTGTACTTTTTCCCGCCAAAACATGTGCCTCTTTTTACAGATGCAGCACAGAGAGGCACAGGATTATTGCAGCCTATTTCTCATAGTGAGGACTCCCCTCAAACAAATGACCATAATTCCCAAACCGTAGGGGCTAGAGCGGTCATTCTTACACCGTTTTGTTCAGAAGAGATGGGGGAATCTTCCAGTGTTTACAATTTATCATTAAAATATGAATTATTAAAGATATTTGACTTCTAATGCACCATAACTGAGTAGAGCGAAGCAAAAACTGCCTTGACTTGCCCTCAAACAACGCTTTGTAACTCGAAATCTATTTGGAGTATCGATATCATTCTTTCACCGTAAGAGACAGCAGGCTTTGGTGAACAGTCATGGAAATTTTCAGGTCTCTGTGGAAATCCAAAAAAAATTATGACGAGAGAAAAAAGTGGTTCATTTCCAGAGTTTGAAATCTGAAGAAATCTGAGCGAAGGACGAATTTCCTACCCTCAAACAAGTCCAACTCATTTCAGAACGGTAATAGGTGAGAAAGAAATTCTTGAATTGTGAGCGTCAGGGGTGTCTGAAGATATTCGGGGACAAGCCTCATGTCTTAAAGTCGCTTCGTTAAGGAGATATGACGATTCGAATATGCCCCTCATTACAAAAATCCAGCGATGATTTTGAACAAGCTCTCCATTGACTTTATATGGAGAGTTTTGAGACCTTGTGTTGGTCTGAGGAGATTTGCAAAAATTCTATGAATCCCACAACAATGATAGTGACATTTTCTGAAAGCCAGCAAAAATACCTACGTTTTGATGTATAATTTGTGGAAGTTGAGTGAAAATTGAGCAAGTAGCAAGAAGTTGTTCGGACATGAAGTGAAAATTGCAAAACCTTCAGTGGCACACTGGAAGCCAAGAGCATAGCAACCATAACAACGCATGTATTTTGTGAAAAATCACAATTTTGCAACTCAAAACTTTAAGAGGCATAAAAGTAAAACAGTAAAACATTTGAAAAAGCTGAATCATACCTGAATAGCCCAATAATTTGTGAACATTTTAAAGTTTGAATGGTTGTTCTAGGTGAAAATATGAGGAAGTAGTTAAGTTTCAAAAACAAGCAAATTTTAGCAGAATTGCAGAAGTTTCCCATTCATTTCAATGGGACAAATTAAAGGAAAAAAGCTTAATATTTTAAAAAGTATAATAGTTAAAAATAGCAAAAATTGTAGCGTAAATTAGCAGAAATAGCAGAATAGTTTAAAATTTGAACGGTGAAAATCGGCTGAAAATTGTGGAAGTAGTTAAGTGCCAAAAAGTGTACGGAAGCAACTAGAATAACTAGAAAAATTTGCATTTCCTGCGAAAATGCAGTGTGGATGCTTAAAGCTGAAGCTGTATGCAAAAAGTAGCT